GAATGTTCGAGAAGCAATCTGTCATCTTTATCAATAACTTATATCTGGACTTTAGGAGTGATGAATAATATTTTGCATAATGGTATTTTGATATGGGTGTGAAATGTTTTATTCTTGGACAGGCCATGTTTTCACTGGAATTGTTTGTGGTTTATCTTTTCATGTTAGCACTCTCAAAATCTCAATAACCAGCTGCATGTCTGACATATAGATTATAAATAACCATTTTTGCTCAGGCTTTACTGTGTAAGAACACTGAGAATTTTGTTATTTCATTTCTTCTGAATAAAAAAGTTTTTGATGTCATACTTTCTTGCAGCACTGAAGTTTACCTTAGTCATGTGATTAATACTAGCAGTGTTGAATGCCAAGTATTAATATATTCTACTATAGCCATGCTGCTGTCCTAATAACTTGTAGTTGAGGCTCAATGTGGTAAATCTTTGTATCTCTAGGTGCCATTACTTTAGTTGCTAACAATTTTGTCATGCTGATCTGGCACACATACTAGTTTGTTCTTAGACTATTTATTATTTCTAGCATATAACACTTGTTGGCATTTCTTGTTCTGTGCTTCTAGGGCCTTGAGAAGTATGTTATGACAAAGCTGTATAATCGGGTATTTGCTTCAGTCCCGGAAGATGTGAAGAGCGACGAAGAGCTTTTTGAGAAGATTTCTCTACTACAGCAGTTTATACGTCCTGAAAACTTAGATATAAAACCAGAATATCAGAATGAAACATCATGGCTGGTATAAAATTTAACCTCCCTATTTTCTCAAAATTCCATATGCCGGATGTTGTGTTACTGCACGTGTTGATAGCTGTCTTTACAGATGAAAGTTTTCAAGCTGAAATTGAGCTATGGTACGATTGTGATGAGTAGGCCGTAGAGCAAAACGTTTGGACCTACCTATGCTAAGCATGTCATTCTTCCTACTCATTACACTTTACTATTTATCATTTATGCCACTCTTGACATTGCCGCTGCCAAATGCCAATTACCCTTCTCAGGGAGAGTAGTCAAAATTACTGTTAGTTTTAAAACAAACATAAATTTTCATGTTGCATTGTAGAGCATTTATAAGTTAGAGCTGACAGACACATAACGGTGAAGCCATTTGGGACCCAATGACTGTTCCAATAGCATGCATTTTATGGCCCGCTCGTCATATACATGGTCACCATTAATTTCTTCTTCTTTTATACAGCTTGCGCAAAAGGAGCTACAGAAGATAAACATGTATAAGGCTCCAAGGGATAAGCTTGCTTGCATCCTGAACTGTTGTAAAGTCATCAATAACTTACTTATGAATGCTTCTCATATGTCACATGATAACCCCCCTGGAGCTGACGAATTTCTTCCAGTCCTCATCTATGTCACCATAAAGGTATGATTCACTGCTTGTGCTAGGACATGTTGATTGTTGGTAAGATATTTCTAGAAGTCCATCTTTTGTAGATGAAGTGTCTATTGTTAGCAGTACTATGTTTTTGTTTCAAGTGTCAACATGGCTTTGCCTATCGATAGACATGGCTCAACTTCGATATACGTTGAAAAATAGCTGCAAATTGTAACTGATGGTGTGGTTTATTTGTTATGTCATATACATGCTTCTTCAGTATAGGTGCACTGTGTGGCTAGCTTTGTTATTTCTCTTTGTAACTTTTTTATTGTATCATTGTACCTATGTAGTTTAATGTAGCCTTCATATTTTGTCATCCTGATAGCAAGCTTGTGGTGTGATGTATTTGACTATTGTTGCTTGTATTGAACCTACTAGACTTTCTTACATCTGCGCCCTCCTGGCTCAGCCTGTCAAGGTTTCATTCGGTAACTTTAAAACTGTAATCGGCAAAGATGCCCTTGTGCCATGCGCTGCTGCTTTATTAGTTTTATTTATTCATTATCTGGATTAGTGTGGGATGACCCTTTTTTGTTGTTGGCTTACAAAACACACCTGTAGATTTATACTAAATTACTAAATTGGGGTAGCCTTCATGAATTAAGTAGTTTCTGTTCCTAATGCAGGCTAATCCTCCGCAGCTACACTCAAATCTTTTATACATACAAAGATACAGGTGCCAATCACGACTGGTGTCAGAGGCTCAATATTTTTTTACAAACCTCCTATCTGCCGAGTCTTTCATTTGGAACATTGAGGCGGAATCATTATCCATGGATGAACGAGATTTCCAAAAGAAGATGGATTTGGCAAGGGAACGCTTGTTAGGATTATCAGTTAGCTCAGAGAACCAGGAGAATCAGACCAATCTTTATGTGGGGGAGCATAGATCACAAGCACTAAAAGCTAGTGGAAATTCCGAAGTCAACCTACACTTGAAAGATCATGTCCAAGGTCCAGTTCAGGACATGAAAAGGGAAAGTGATGTGAGCAGTAAATCAGTTGAGCGGGTGCAATCTATCTCTGATATAGAGAAGAAGGGAGCTACAGAGCTTGTCAAGGATGACGACTTGAGCAAAATATTCCAGGAATACCCATTTCTATTTGCCCGTGCTGGTGATCTGACAGTTGCTGATGTAGATAACCTTTTAAACTCTTACAAGCAACTAGTACTTAAGTACGTCGCACTCTCTAAGGGCATGGGTGTCACCCCTGAAACGCCTCTTGTTCGGAGCAAGCAAACCGCACCAGATCTTCAGATATCCGAGGAGCCTGAGAATGTGAAGAATGTTGTAAATAGTTGCGACAGCACTGAAGAAAGCAGCAAGACTCATGAGGACATTAAAAATGAAATTCCTGACTCAGAAGTCAGCAACATTAGTACGCAACAAGCTGCTGTTGATCCGAGTGGTGATCAGAAGACACTAAAAGATGAATCATCAGATTAGCCAGAGCATGCGTAAGCTGCCGGTCTGGTTAAGCCAGTGAAATACAGTGAAAGCGCTGCCTTCTGCAGTTCGTTCTTATACCAAGGGGTTATAAGGGGCCGCGGAACAGAATGCATATTTCCCCTGAGCAGATATGCCGCGGTCCTTGATGCCACAATTGTACATGCTGGAAACTAGAAAGCAGATATTAGGTACCAATGAAGATGGAAATTCATTCTGCTGAAGCTAGATCCAGATCCAAACATTTGTTAATTGATCCTTGGGGCTCTTGATTTTGTTGTCAGTTGGACTTTGTGGTGACTGCCATTTTTGTAAACTGTTACTATGTAACTAGAATTTCCATAAGGGCAGTTAGTATTCGTGCCAATATTCAGAGTAATTTATGTACCTGAATGTGGTTTCTTAATCAGCGCATCCAGTTGTATCGTATCAGCCCGGGGTGATGACCTCCTTTACTTCCGAGGAGAACTATTGCCATCCTCTTAAGATTTTCAAGGCAATAATGACTACATTTTGTTCGATTCAGTTGCGGATTATGAACCCAAGCACCTCCACGGAAGACACAGAACCAGGTAACATAGTACAGTATTATTTTCAGCTTCATAATTATATGAAATTATTGAGTAGTTTAGTGTGTCTTGAGTAAAATAAAGAAAAAAAATTAGCGAAGAGCCATTGTCTTCAGTAACTTCGCGGGCTTCACTGCACATTAAGTAGTTGTGTCGATTACTATCAGGAATAAAGAGATCTACCATGGGAACCATTGGGATCTACAAAAGGTTTCCGGCATTATTTTTGCCTTTTCGCTTTTGTTTTCCCCATGAATTTCTTTAGTGACGTCCTGCCAGTCCTCATTAGAATACGGAGGAATAAGAGATATACGTGTTGATCCCGCGTCATAGGTTTAGCTGTCCAGAACATGCTGTGTTCCCGATTCGCTCCAATGTCAAACTCATTCACCACAGATTTAAAGACCTTTTTCTAATAGGGAAAAAAGAAGACCTACAGTGTACACATATAATGTATTCTAGTTCGGTTTTACAATCGCGGAGGTCAACAGTGAATACCGCCTTTGCTAGAGCACTCGACATCAAGCATCTCTGAAGCAATATATAACGTAGGTGGAGTATTTTTCTTGCTGCTGTATTTTTGGTCATCAGCTGTTAGGGTTCATCGTAGTCCTGATCCTAAGTTCTGGTGGCCGGTGATAAAGTAATTAGATTCTTAGACACCGAGATCATGTGCAGTCGTACAGCTGTTTCTTAGACACCTACATCTCGCTTAGCTAGCTAAAACTCAGGTGCGACTGAAGGTTGGTACTCCGACAAAGTGCACAGAAATTCGAGCCGAAAAGGACCATATTGATGGCGCTGACGTAGACAAACACCTGCAACGAACTAGGGCAAGACCTGCGTAGTACTGCTTCCACACCGCAACTGGTCATGCCGTGTCACTCTGCTTAAGGGTGAGAGGGTGTGAACACTGAATAGACTTAACACTGGATGACTAGCTGGAGTAAGTGGGAAAGGGAAAACAGCTAATGGGAGCGCTGGAATCTTAGCTAGATCATCCTCAAAAGGAAAAAAAAAAGGAATCTTAGCTAGATCGAAAGCATTGGATTATCATCTTTACAATACCAAAAAACCCAGAGGTGCAGACTTACAGTCCAGTACAGCTTAGCTCCTGCGAGTGAGCTGTTCTGCTTAAACACCAAGCTTCCGCACGAGACACAAAGCGCGTTCTCCGGAGCACTTTCCGATTAAACTAAACTAAAAAAATTGTAATGATCAACAAAAATAAGTTGAAGCAAAACGGAACAAATCCAACAGGTATCCAATGCAGCCAGTCTCACTCATCAACCCATACAGACATACAGTGTAGTAGTAGCAGTATTACTGACGGCTAGCCAAATAAACACACAAAACATATAGTAGTATATATTGTATAAGTATTATGTTCTTACTAAATGAAAGAAAGAATCTATGGAAGCAGACTTGGAGTGAGACCTAGCTAGAGCCTAGTAGAGAGGATCCATGCATGCACCTAGCTAGCCTCCATGGGAGATAGAAAAAACCAATGATCAATGGCGATCGACTCATGGATGCGCATATCAATGTCGACCCACTGCAGACGGTGGACGCTTCACTCTAGCAGAAGCTCCAGAGCCTCATCATGTCGCCGTCCTCCTCGGGCTCCTCCCAGGTGCAAGAGAAGGGCGTGGCGTGACCGGCGGCGATGAGGTCCATGAGCTTGGGGGACGCGAACGCGTCCAGCTCCGTCCACAGCTCGTCCTGATCTCCCACCGGCGAGCCAGCGCTGGCCGCGGCGGACATCGAAGACGTGGCGTGCTCCTGGACGTCGGCGCTCCCCAGCGTGGACACTGAGAACGAGGTCGGCGTCGTCGCCTCCGCGCTGGAAGAGCAGCTGTCGTCCACGACGATCCTGGTGGCCTCGAAGGCCGCTGCCGCAGCGGCGGCCGCGCGCTGGATGGACCTCGGGGACAGGTCGTCGGCGTGTCGATTGGCGGGGGAGGGAAGCGAATGCGGCGACGAGGGTGAGGCGGAGGACGACGAGGGGAAGTTGAGGACGGCGTCGGAGCCCTTGAGGCAGAGGAGCGCGGCGTCGTAGGCGCGCGCGGCGGCCTCCGGGGTGGCGTAGGAGCCGAGCCAGATCCGGCGCTTCTGGTGCGGCGCCCTGATCTCCGACACCCACGACCCCCAGCTCCGCATCCGCACCCCCTTGAACTGCCTCGCCGCCATCGCCGGCTGCCTACTCCCGCCGCCGCACAGCGCTGCCGTCCCACCCCCACCACCGCTCTCTGCCATAGCCGCCGCAGCGTCGCACCTGCTAGTGCCGCTGCCCGGGTGGTTCTTGACCATTTTCCACGCGCTATAGCTCCCTGCTGCGGAGATGAGATCTTGCTGCCACACCACACCGGTGCGTAAGCAAGTCACAGGCGCGTACTTATAGGGAGGGACGCGGCGTGTGAACTGAACGCTGCTGCTAGTGAGTTCGATCGTGGGAAAGGGGGCAGTGTCACTCTCGCGCACGCAAAGTCACCACGTACGTACGTAGGAGGATGTACGTGCGTGGTCCTGGTAGCAGTGGAGAAAGGGTTCGCGCTATTCTACACTGCTTAACTTGCATTTGGAAGACTCCTTAATTGTTTTCGATCGAGTGACCAAGACCAAGGCTGGCTAGATCGCCACAAATGTACTACGCCCACGTGGTGATGTACCGTCTTTGCCCTTGCCTAGCCAGGCTTGTTTGAGAAGGAGCGTATAGACAGATCTTGCCTTCCAGGACGCTTCGGCTGATGCAGTATTAATTGTTTTTTTGAAACAAGATGCAGTATTAATTGTAGCGAGAAAAGAAAAGAAACGAAAACTGGCTAGTACATACACGCATGGGCAGCTGCCAAACTTGCCTGATGCTGTCGGAAAACCTATAATTAAAGCCACTGAAAGAGCTGTAAAACCAGATCTATCAGCTGCCATCGTGCCATTTCATTTCAGTGCAATGAATGGGGAAAAGCCCTATATAATATCTATATTATTTATTATTATTATGCAAGCAAGAGTTTAGCTGCCTAAAGTATACAATGCTCTTCCTCGCAAAAAAAGAAAAGTATACAATGCTCAATTATTCGTTAGATTTCAGATGTTGATCTGTGTGCCTGGTATTATGTAGTACTGTACACGGGTATTTCTTATTAACATCTGCGGCCATGCATATATAATTCGAACGTACGTACGTCATGGGCTCATGGGCATGACAGATTATCTCCACTGCTGCAGCTGCGCCCCACGTTATAATTAAGTAACGGCAACGGTTAGATGTGCTCTTAAAAAGCTCGTAGTACTAGCTCAGAGAGAGTCGTCGCGCCCAAGCAAGTTCAAAGGCGCCCGTACATCCATGCATGGAGAGTGAGAGGTCAGATCATCCACCACGCATGAGAAAAGCTGTGCGAGATGATCAAGTGCCTCTGCACATCTCGGTGTAAAGATCGGCGCGGGCATCGGAAAAGGCTCCGATGCCCTCCAAGGCAAGTGCTCAGGCTGATAATAGCGCTGCTGGATTCCCTAATTAGGAAAGCGGTAACGTTCCTCTCCGAGTGATACCCAATTATCCATCATCATGTAGGGAACGAACGGCATTACTGTGTGGTCTGCGGGCCCAATGTTCAAATGACATGCCGGGATAACATCTCGGTTACTCAGAAAAACACTGATCGGGCAGTACCCAGTGCCTGACGCGGATCAAGAAAAATATACTTTGTCATATTCATATTAATTATCCCTGATTTATTACGAGGGTGGTGCCAGTGCTTGTATTCGTCGCTAGGTGGTCTACGGACCTCGATGTAAATTTTACTTCTGGTATTCTTTATACTATATACATTGACAGTTGATGGATAGATCGAAAATTTTCTCGCAAAAAAACGGAGAGTGCCATGTAAAAAACACAAAATTTAAGTTGAGCAGTGAACTGCGTGATCAAACGGCGGAAACTAGTAGTCGATCTCCTTATGTTGTTGTTGCAGCAAGTAACATCTGCCAACAAAAGTTAAGGTAAGCTTTATGTTCAGATTGGCTTTTCTACGTATCTTATGGTGTACTCCATGCATCCATGAAACTGCCTAGCATACATAGGCTTTGATCAAAACCTAGCTGCTACTCACTGGTGCTCAGGCTTTACCAGACCTGTCCTGTATTTGGAGCAAGCGTAAATTGCGTAAAAGACCACCACAGTTAGGGTTAGTGTTGCTCATAACCACCACTTAGCTAACATTTTACTGAAAACCGCCACTATTTGGGCGGCCATTGCACATAACCCATACACTAGTAAGTTTCAAGTGCGGATTAGCGATTCTAACAATGAATGGAACGGACTAGCTTTGGTTGGAACAAACCATACACAAAACTATGGATTCCTTTCCAACGAAATAATAAATGGCCTGCTGAGAGACTAACAAAATTTCATACCAAATTGATCAACAATTTAGCAAAATTTCAGTTTTCAAGTTTGAAGATTTAAAATTCAGCTGAAAATGTAAATTTATAGTAATACATATAGCACTTACGAAAAAACTATACAGAGTGTTAAGTTAAAACGGCGGAATTGCGGGCTTGAGAAGTACCAAGAACACCGTAGCAATGTGCATGTGTCCGGTGCAATTTTCAACGGCCGGCCTTTCCTCTGAAAAGAAAATCAACAGAACATCTCAATGTGGATCCGCAGCTGTGGAGATCTCATTTTACATAAACTTTTCTTCATTCGTTTTGAACAACAAGTACATTTGAAGGCAATGGAAACCATGCCCTTTTGGTGATCAGTGGGCGTCAATCAATTAGTTTCCATCTCTGCATGATGGCGAGAAAGAAGAAGAGGGGACACGTATACTGTGCCCGCAGTGGGCTCCGCTCAACCATACGTGCTGCTGTGCAAAAGGGAGAAAGGCAGCGTGCGCACGCATATGCGGCTAAGTTAGCTGGGCGCTTTCCATCACGAGCTTTGATACTGCGTCTCGACGGAGAAAATGGAGAGGATCCCCCGTGCCCTGCCCCTGCCCCTGCCCGTGTGTAACTTGGCACGGAAGTAATTGCGGTCTGCAGCAGGCGCCTTCATCGAGTGGGCGGGTCTGGTCTCTTCCCGCTTTAGTTTGCCTTTCTCCGGACGAAGGAAGGCTTCGCATCTGCGGCAGAGGATCGAATCGAACCGAGGGAGTGCCGGTGCCAGTGACTCATGAGTCATCACCATGCTACAGCATACTACAAGCTCTGCTGCACTGCGCCAGATCGTCGTTCCTCGCACGGCTCAGCTCAGAATCATCTCATTCCTTTACCAAAAAGGCTTTCGTCCCACTTTATAAATAAAACAAACCACCAAACACAATGTCAACATGGTACCACCCGAACAACACATACAACGCCACCGCAGGCAAGGTCCAACACACACACCAGGACTGACACACACTAAAACACTACACGAGGTTCAGCTGTGGGCACAACACAACAAGCTCAACACAGAAATAAAGCACGCACAACACATAAAAGGCGGTGGTGGCGAGGAGGAGAAAATCTAGTCCGGCTCTGGTGGTGGTGGGGGAAGCGGTGGAGCCATCCGGAGAGCCATCGCGTGAAGCTGGGTGATGATGGAGGTGATGTCGTCTCTTCCTGGGGCGGCTAAGCGGCCGACAAAGCTGCAGGTAACCAGACCATTTGAACAAAGCGTCAGTAGCACGACGAAGAAGAACATGCTGAATCACAAGCTTATTCCTAATAGTCCACAGCGTCCAGGCTAGCACACCGACGGTTGTCGGCGTTCTGGGAACGGGGTCCCCAGACTTGCCCGCCTGCGGCCTGCAGCGTGGCTCAGCCGCCGGCCCGATACGGCCCGTCTTCATCAACAAACACTCAAGACCCTCGCGAGGGGCCAAGCCTCGCGGGGCGAACGACGAACCAGCCTCCTCAGGGGCGGCCTCACCAGGCAGGCTCGTGAGAAGGCGGAGAGATCAAGGCAAGGGGTACCTCGCGAGGTGCTCATGACGCAAGACATGACGACCAAGACCAGGCGGGCGCCAGTTTGCGCAGTGTCCTCGTTTCCTCTTTGGTGCAAGGGGGGTAAGTGCAGGCGCGGAGTACCAAGGCATCAGGCAAGGTTTTCATATCGGTGCAACAAGACCAAGACCAGCAGGACGACAAGACGGAGGTCATCATGGAGCCCAAGACGACGTCATCACTAGTGCCTTTGGCAGTGGAAGACCACCTTTAGTCAGGATAGCCTGTACTAGCTGTCCCCTTTCAAAATGGTCGTTGTTGGCTCCCTTCCCACTCAATATTTAGGAAGAGGACCAAGGCCTCTATAAATAGGGCTAGCCACCACCAAGGCAAGGGGGATCGATCCATGAGCAGAACCATCCACCTACCACAAAAACACCTCTCTTCGCGAGGCTGTTCTTCCCCTGTACTATTCATCATCAGCCCAAGAGACAATTCACCACCAAACTAGAGTAGGGTATTACACCACAATGGTGGCCCGAACTAGTTTAAATCTTGTGTCTCTTGTGTTGTTCATCGTGCTAGCTTAGAACCACGGTGAGGCTACAGGCGTGAATTGGTAGGAGGATATCTTCGTACGCACCCCAGAGTTCGAACCTTAAGGGTTTTGCCGGAACCCGATATCCGACATTTGGCGCGCCATGTAGGGGGTGCATCGAAATCTTCCTTCCGCTGATCTGTGTCCCGTGTTTCACCGCATCCATGACAGACGCTCGCCGAGCCCACGCCAAGCGTCGGGCTGCCCTCGCCGCTCACCTTGCCCAGACGGCTCCTGTCAGCGGGCCTCCTCATCGTTCTCCATCGCCTGCTGCCAACGCCGCCACCGGCCCGGTGGGGAACGAGCAGTAGGCTTCTTCGCTGCATCCCTCGATGCGGCGGGAAGGCCGCACCACCACTCCATCGCTGACCCCAGCTGGTTCGTCGTCTCACGCTCGTCGCGCCCCCACGGACGCGCAGGCCGCGCTGCTTATGGCACGTGAGCTTCTGCACTACCGCCCCGTCGACGACCTCTACGAGGAGTGGCTCGCTCACATCACCGAGCTCGTCAGCGCCGCAGGGGGCTCTCCCGCGCCGCCCTCTCGCTGCCTCGCCCTCCATCATGCATGGGCGATGCGGCTCAGGGAGCGCCTCCGCCACCTCTACCCCAAGACGGCGCCCTGGCTCCAAGGCGCGCGGCTCCTGGACGTGATCCGCCGCGTCAGCACTCGCGCAACAAGAAAGAAGCTGCCAAGAAATTCCTTGGCCCCAAGAAGGCGTTCCCGTGCTTCCTGCACCAGCGCAGCAAGACCGCGCCCGCGCACCGGCGTGTCAAGACCCCG